ACAAGACTTTGTCCCTACAATAAATCAAAAAATTATGCCTGAGCCCGCGGGTTTGAGACCCGCCTAGGCAACTTGGCGAGACCTCATCTCTACAATAAATTAAAAAATCAGCCGGGCGTGGTAGCGTGTGCCTGTAATTCCGCCTACTCAGAAGGCTGAGGCAGAAGGATCGCCGGAGCCCAGCAGGTCGAGGCTGCTGTGGCCAGGAGCAGCCACTGCACTCCAGTCTGGGAGACAGAGTGAGACTTCAACTCAAAAAAAAAAAAAGCCAGGTGTGGGGGCATGTGCCTGTAGTTCCAGTTACTTGGATGACGGAGGCAGAAGGATCACCTGAGCCAAGCAGGTTGAGACTATGGTAACTATGAGCATGTTACTGCACTCTAGCCTGGGGGACAGAGTGAGACTTCAACTCAAAACAAACAAGCAGGAAGTGGCACAAATAACCAGTGTCAGGAATGAAAAATAAACTATTACTATGTATCCTGCAGACATAAAAAAGATTTAAAAATATAAATTTTGTGCCAATTCTTTTAACAGTTATATTAAATGGTAAAAATTCCAAAAAGCATAATTATCAAAACTTGACTTTGTGGTAGGTGGAGTAATTTTGGACCCCTCCAAAAATATCTACATCTTAATCCCTAGAACCTGTGAGAGTTACCTTAAAGGCAAAAAGAACACTGTAGATATGATTAAATTAAGGATCTTGAGACGAGGAGATTATCCTGGATTATCTGGGTAGGCCTCAAATGTAATCAGAATTGTGCTTATAAGAGGAAGGCAGAGACAGATTTTTTTTTATGAGTTGGAGTCTCACTCTGTCGCCCAGACTGGAGTACAGTGGCCGCTCTTGGCCACTGCAGCCTTAACCTGCTGGGCTCCGGCGATCCTTCCGCCTCAGCCTTCCGAGTAGCCAGAATTACAGGCGCACGCTACCACGCACGGCTAATTTTTTGATTTATTGTAGAGATGAGGTCTTACTTCCCAGGCGGGTCTCGAAGCCACGGGCTCAGGCAGTCCACTCACCTCAGCCTCCCAAAGGCATGGGATTACAGGCTGAGCCACCGAGCCCGGCTTAGAGACGGATTTTATACAGAAGGCAGAAGGGATGGAAGAAGCAAGCAAAGAAAGATTTGAAGATGCTACACTGCTGGCTTTGGAGATGAAAGAAGAGGCCAGACCAAGGAATGTTCCTGTTCCAGAAGCTGGAAGAGGCAAGGAAATGGACTTTCCTTGAGCCTCTGAGGGAGTAGGGAGCACTGCCATGCCAACACCTTGAATTAAGCCCCATAAGGCTCAATTCAGATTTCTGGCCTCCAGAACTAAGATAATAAGCTCCTATTGTTTGAAGCCATCAAGTTAGTGGTAATTTGTTACAGCAGCTGTAGGAAACTAATACGCTGACACATGAAAAAATCTGTAGTGTGTCATTTGTGGTCTAGTCAGGTGTTGGAACCACCCCAGTTATTTGAATGAGAATATGTATTCTAAAGGAAAGCTTTTTAACTAAATAGTTAAAAGACATCAAGAAGTTAGCAGCTGTTGGAGGCAACTTGCAACCCTAGAACTTAGGGAACACAGTGAAGAAGTTGGAATTATGAAATTTAGGAATCAGGAGGCAGCTTCCCCCCAAACGTGACACTCAGATTCTAAGAAGTAGTGCTGTATTGGGGTGTGTGCTGAGGATCAGGCAGTGAATGGTTTTAGCCACAAGTGTTGGGAAATTGCAAAGTCAATGCAGCTGCTGGCAGGGCACAGAAGCATTGCTGGAATAATGCTCCTCCAAAACTAGAAGCCATCCTGAAGGAGCTGGTCATTTTCTCCCACCTCTTGCCTTCCAGTCTACCTCGAGCTCCCCCTTTGGGTGGAGATTAAAATAACGCCAGCTGGAGGCACAGACATATGGTTCCCAGGGTCCCAGACCTACATCACAAAGCAGAATATGAATGAGTGTGGACTGAGAGGCAGTAACTAAAAGCCAGCACACACAGCCTGTTTAAAAGTGGGGCTCGCCTGAGTGTGATGGCTCACACCTACAGTGCCAACTCTTGGGAGACCAAGGCAGGAAGTTCACTTGAGGCCAAGAGTTTGAGACCAGCCTGGGTAACATAGTGAGACCCCATCTATAAAAAAAATTTTAAAAATTGGCTGGTGGTGGTGATGCACGCCTCCCCAGCTTGAGAAGCTGAGGTGGGAGGATCACTTGAGCCCAGGAGTTATGATTGCACCACTGTACTCCAGCCTGGGAGACAGAGCAAGACTGTCCCCAAATCAATAAAAATGTGGCTCCAGCAGTTCGAAACTGCAGTGACTATGAGCGTGCCACTGCACTCCAGCCTGGACAACAAGAGTGAGACTCCAACTCAAAAAAAAAAAGAAGTGTGGTTCTGTTCCAAACTTTTGTGATATTTTTCTGGATATTTGGACTTTAATACCCTTTTGGTCAGATACTGCTCTGAATTATTTCAGTCCTTTGACATTTATTCAGACTTTTTTAGGACTCAACATGTAGTCCATCTTGGTACATATTTCAGTGCTCTTGAAAAGAATGTTTTCTGCTGCTAAGTATTCTGTAAATGCTAATTAGGTCAAGTTGGTTGATAGTATTATTCAAATTTACATGTTTTCTGGGTTTTGTCTACTTGTTCCATCAATTACTGAGAGATGTTCTAAATCTTCAACTATGATAGTGGATCTTTGCTTCATGTATTTTTTAAGTACTGTTGTTAGGTATACATATGTTTAGAATTATTTTTATCCATATTTTTCAAAACAGCTCTTCCCTGAGCCCATCCTGGGAAATCATCCCCAGGTGCAAAAGCTGCCATATGTGGGTCACCTGGTGGGTCCCGCAAGGTGCAGGCTGTGCTTTTTGCTACAGTAAACCTGAGGGGAAACTGTCAACCTCAAATCCTGCAGTCCTGGATCTTATGTGACTCTGTGGCACCAGCACTGACTTTGGAGCCACATAGTCAGTTCTGTCCACCACCCTTGTCCCTCACTAGCTGATTCTTGAGGGAGTCTATTTTCCTTTTCTTAAACTGAAGATGGTAACCTTCGACCTCAAAAGGACTACTCTAAGGATTAAATATGACCACAGATGAAAAAGGCCAGCCATTGCTTTACTAAACTCTGATCTGGCCACGTGGCACTTTGAGCTATGGTTGCAATGTTTTCCTAGCTCTGGACCCCTCCCACCTTGGGGAGGGCGAATCTCTTCGCCCTTTCTCTCTAATTTCTAAATAAATTATATTTCCCAATCTAAAAAAAGAACAGGACCGAGTGCAGGTGCCATGAGTCTCTGCTTCCTGCCCTGGCCTGCCTTTCCTGCCTTCTCACACATGTTCTGCCTCATGTCCTCCTAGATGTCAGCAGTCACAGGAGTTCCTTCCAGACATCCCCAGAAGAGGTTCCTGTCATCCTCCCCAGGACCTCCCCAGCCCTCCACTGAGCCTGAAACCTCTTGCTCCTTCTGCTCAACAGACCCACCCAGAACCCATTTGGGAGTAGGAGATGGATGGAGAACCCTTATGAGGGGTATTGTCTGGGGTTTTCCAAGGTCCCCCCTTCAGCCTCTTGAGTTCAGGCACCAGATTTTCCTTATCTACCAGAGGTGGACTCACATGAGATCAGTTCTGACAACTCCACAGTGGGAGCCAGCATGCCATGGCTATGAGGCTGACGTCTCCACTGGGATGAGTAGAGAGGAAGATTTCTGAGGGAGAGTTGGGTAACTCACAGAACCAGAAACACTGGTCTGACTGGAACTGGGATCCATGGGGTCTTTTCTCTTCCCTGTGAGTCTGTCTCTTGCCTGGCAACATCCTTGCTCTTCCTTATTGTGTGTACTGCATCCTACATATTAGGCTGGCACTGCCCCAACAACTCAAGCTTGTTACATTCCAGCTTAGCACCCCCAGGCAAAAGTGTGTTTCTCCTGTTCAGCTTCAGCATATAAAGAAGGGTTTCAATGTAAAAAGGAACTCTGGTTCATCAGGGTGACAAAGCCATCCTCTGGATTAATGTGTGTGGTCAAGGGGATGAGATCCTATGATTGGCCAGGCCTGAACCACATGCTGCAAAATGAGGATGTCATTATTGGCAGCCCTACCAGAACCGTGTGGAATTTTGGAGTGGCAGTGAGGAATAGGAACAATGAAGCTCTCACCCAAAAAATGAGGGGGGGCTTTGGGTAGACGAGACAGTAAACATCACCTCATTTTCTTCCAGGCATCTCCCTGACCACTCTTCAGGCACCCAGCAATCATATCATATATCGTATGCATCAGGGGGTTGATTGGCATGCATGGGCGTCTGTCTTAGGGAGAAGGACTGGTATGTGGTGTGTGCATCCTGGGTATAGTCCTGTGCTCTGGGGAAGGCCAGTGAGGCAGCCCTGTGTTGGTAGAACATCTCTGGCTGGTATTCTAAGGCCCTGGCCCTGAGCTTACACAGATGCTGGCTATCAGTCTGGCTATGCACTTACTAACCCAAGGACTTTGGGCAAATTACTTCACCTTTCAGACCTCAGTTTTCCCACCTATAAAATGGGGTAATTTTGATAACTCAGTGACATTTTGTCCAATAAAAATTCAGTAACTGTTCATTCTTTTGGTAACTGAATTGTTCCAGTCCGTCACTCCATTCACAGGGTCCTGCAGGTCTGTCTTCTTGTTTTCTGCTGATGTATTTAGACCATCTCTTCAAGTCTGGGCCCCCTAGCCTTGGTCTGGGTACTGGCTGGTGCGCTCATGGGACAACCAACCCGTAGTGGTATGCCCGTTTCCAGAGAAATCAGCAGGTTGTCCACCAGCACAGTTCTCAGAGGGATATAGATGGCATTGTAGTGAGAGGCCAGCCTGGAAACCTCAGGAAGCATGAAGAATATTGACTTGCCCTTGTAAGGCAGTACCCTTCTGTTGGACTTTATGTGAAGTATGTGGCTAAAAACAAGCACTGAGCTATGGGGGTCGATCTCCTACCTGTTTTCTGGATCATAGGAAGAATGGAGCCAAAGAGAAATTGTGAGTGTGGCCATGGCTCAAGCTCTGGAGGAGGTGCGGAAGCAAAGGGAAGAGCTCCAGCAACAGGTGGGTCTTGCTGGACACAGAAGGGTGATGCCCCCACCTGCAGTCCAAGGAAGGCCGGCTCCCATCCTGCTGTGGGACTGTTAGAGAGGCCCCACCTGTCCAGGGTAGCGGGTAGGCACAGACTGCAGGGAGTGTGCTCGGCTGTGAAATGCCCTTGCAAACTCTAGGAAGCTGGGAGAAAAATTATAAGAAATACTCACCACATAGATGCCCTTTTCTGATTTTTTTTTTCTTTTTTTGAGTTGAACTCACTCTATCGCCCAGACTGAAGTGCAGTGGCACGCTCACAGCCACCGCAGCCTCGACCTGCTGGGCTCCGGCGATCCTTCCGCCTCAGCCTTCCAAGTAGCTGGAACTGCAGGCGCACGCTACCACCCCTGGCTAGTTTTTGATTTATTGTAAAGACGAGGTCTCGCCAAGTTGCCTGGGCTAGTCTTGAACCCGTGGGCTCAGGTAATTCACTCGCCTCAGCCTCCCAAAGTGCTGGGATTACAGGTTGAGCCACCAAGCCCAGTCCCTTTTCTGATTTTTGATTGTCATTTAATAGCTATGAACATTGCCTGGGCTGGACATGGTGGGTCACACCTATAATCCCAGACTCTGGGAAGCTAAGGGAGAAGGATTGCTTGAGCCCAGGAGCTCAAGACAGCCTGAGGAACTTAGTAAGACCCTTTCTCTATTTTTTTTTTTCTTTTAGTCAGGGTCTCAATCCATCACCCAGGCTGGAGTACAGTGGCGTGCTCACAGCCACTGCAGCCTCGACCTGCTGAGCTCAGGCAGTCCTTCCACTTCAGCCTTCTAAGTAGCTGGAACTTCAGGCATGCACTACCACACCCAGCTAGTTTTTGATTTATTGTAGAGACAAGGTCTCACCATGTTGCCCAGGCTGTTCTCGAACACATGGGTTTAGGCAATCCTCTTGCCTCAGTCTCTCAAAGTGCTGGGATTATAGGCATTAGCCACCACGCCCAGCTCTTAATTTAATATAATACATACATACATACATTACCTGGAAAAAAATCCATACCCAGGCCTTCTAGGCTCTAATTCTGTGAGGTGGCCCATCACTGCTCACATGACCCAAAGGCTACATATGGTTGGGTTGAGCTCTCTGCAGTAAGTGTGGGAAAAGCCTCCTTTGTAGACAGACTTAGCATCTGGCCCCAGTCCGTCTAGTTATCTCACTAGGCTTTTGGTAAGTTCATAACAAATCTGAGTCTCAGAGTCTCCTCTGACAAAGACTCTGGTCCTAATCACACTTCTGGGATACTGTAATAAAGTAATGTAAATTTAATGCCTGCCCAGCACCAGGTATATCTCAGGCACTCAGGAAGTGGAAGTTACAGTTGTGACAGCTTGTTGGACCAGGCAGAACAGCCATGTCCCTGGTTGGCCCACTTGAGACCAGCAAGGCAGTGAGAGGCAAGGCCCCCTGTGCGGGACCCCTGCCAAAAATGGATCTGTGCATGTTCATAGGAGCAGGGGTTCAGGGAAAGCTACATGGTGGACCATGAGTAGTGGAAAAGTGGTGATTCCTGTGGGAAGGTGAATCACTGCTGCTGACCTTCTCTCATGTTGATTTTTCTCTCCAAGGCTGCTAACTTGACAGCCGTAATAGATGAAAAGGAGCAGAGTCTACAGGAAAAAGCTGCAGTGCTTCTCCAGAAAGAACAGGAGATTCTGCAGCTGGAGCAAGGTGAAGAGATCCCCAGGGGAGCCCTCTCTCCTTTTTCTGCCTTGGGGTGGCCCCATCACCATGGGGTCACTGGGCTCATGGTGCACACTCTGCCCCTACCTAGGCCACAACTCTGCTGTGCTGCAGATGCACCAGCTGCAGGATGAGCTGCAGGCCCTGAGGAGCCTGAGAGCAGAGGGAACTGCCGCAGCTGTGGAGCAGGAGGACCTGCTGAGGCTGCAGGGCCAGGTGCAGGGCGAGGCACTCTCAGTCAGTGAGCTACACGTAAGTCCCAGCCCTGTCATGTGGGTGCTGCGGCAAAATGCAAGGCGATACTGCGAGTCGCCAGGAGGTGGCGGCAGTAGGAGACATGGTGGGTGGGCACCCCTCTGCACCATAGGTCCTTTCTCTAAAGTGAGGGTGCTCGCGGGGCTCAGTGGCTCAGTCTGTAATCCCAGCACTTTGGGAGGTCGAGTTGAGAGGATTGCCTGAGCCTGCAGGGTCGAGATCCAGCCGGCCAACTTGGCGAGACCTCGTCTTTACAATAAATCAAAAATTAGCTGGGTGTTGTAGTATGTGCCTGTAGTTCCAGCTACTTGAAGGGCTGAGACGAAAGGATCACAGGAGCCCAGTAGGTCGAGGCTGCGGTGGCCGGGAGCATGCCACTGCACTCCAGTCTGGGCGACAGAGTGAGATTCCAACTCAAAAAAGAAAAAAGTAGCCGGGCTCGGTGGCTCAGCCTGTAATCCTGCGCTTTGGGATGCTGAAGTGAGTGGATTGCCCGAGCCAGTGGGTTCTTGACCCGCCTGGGCAATTTGACGAGACCTCATCTCTACAATAAATCAAAAATTAGCCGGGC